GCGCTGTGGCTCAAGTGGTAGAGTGCTAGCCTTGAGCTGAAGAGCTGAGGGACAGCACCCAGGCCCAGAGTTCAGGCCCCACGACCGGACCCAAAAATAAATAAATAAATAATGAATAGCAAAAACCTTCACCCACAAGTTCTTTGTTGTCTTGAATGGCTAACCTAAACTCCTTGGAGCCAAATACTTGTTCCCAGATTTCTTTGCAGCTATGGTACCCATGTCACAGAGTTCTACTCTACACAATGAGATACAAGTAAATGTCTCCTGGAGGAGTTCTGTACCCACAAAGTGCAAGGCTAGAACTTGTTCTAGGAACCAGGATTACATCAATTGCAGACTAAGAAATCCCTGGAGTTGGGTTATGGTGCTATTTTAGGTAATCACACAAAAGTGACATTCTGGAGAGAGAAAAAATAATCTGTGGGAAGGATGACAAATACCAAGAGCTGAGATTATGACACAGTGACATACACAAGGAACACTAGGAGTGTAATTCAAGGTTATTGTAAAGAGAGGAGCATGACGGAAAAGAATAAGTACCAACGTAAGATCAGAGAAGTAGGGGACCAAACTCAGTGATATTCTGAAGCCATTTTCACCAACTCAACCAGCTGACAAGGGTCAAACATAAGCCTTTCTTCCCAACTCAGTGACTTTAGGTTATAACATCCATAACAGAAATATTTACATCATGGAAATCGATCAGTTTACAAATCAGGGTTTTGGTGTTTTTATTTCCTGGAGAGTTAATTTACAGCACATGTTAGCCATTACTGTTCATTTTAAGGGCTCTCCTGCTTCCGTTTAGAACAGGAAATAGTTACTGGAAGGTTCTGAGCTGAAGAATAATATCAAATAATTTAAAAGGATTGTCCTGAGCTGGGCACCAAGGACTCATGTCTATAATCCTAGCTACTCAAGAGGCTGAGATCTGAGTATCACATTCCAATCCAGCCCAGGGGGGAAAAAATCCATGAGATTCTTATCTCTAATAAAATATTTAGAGAAAGTCAGAAGTTGCACTGTGGCTCAAGTGGTAGAGCCTTTTGAGCATAAAGAGGCTCAGGGACAGTGCTCAGGCCCTGAGTTTAAGCCCCAGGATCCACACACCCACACCCACACACCCACCCACCCCCCCACACACACACATGAGATTGTCCTGATTTCCATGTTGAGAATAAAGTACCCTAATAGTGACTGGATCACTACTATCCCTTCATTTCTTTCTGACAGTGCTCAGGCCCTGAGTTTAAGCCCCAGGATCCACTCACACACACACACACACACACACACACACACACACACACACACGAGATTGTCCTGATTTCCATGTTGAGAATAAAGTACCCTAATAGTGACTGGATCACTACTATCCCTTCATTTCTTTCTGCTTTGAACAATGATGCCCAGGGAGGAAAGGTCATCCCGTACTATGAGGAAAAAAGATTTTTAGCTCCTGACTCAATGCCAGAGCTGCCAAATTCCATGTTTCTTGATATGTGATGACAATATATTCCATTTTTGTCAACTCTGATGGTCAAATCTTCTACTACTTGCAATTAAAGACATTCATAACTGATACACTTAGTGAACTAAAAGCCCCCCCTTCCCAAACTCCCACATTTCTTCCACAATTTCCCAACTACTGCTGTTGGTGTATACTATAACCACAGTTTACCTGTACAAATATTAATTAATTAATTATATAAATATATGGCTGGCCAACAAAAGAACTGGAAGACCTCAGTTACCTACCTCCTCCCTATTGGGAGTATCAGGAGGGGCAGTGGCCGCCACTGCCAATAGCTTGATGGGAGTCGTGGTATCACTGAAAACATCTGACACCTCCTGAGTCATGGCTTCTTGCATCTGGGCTTTCAGATCCTTAAAAATATTATTATAAATGAAAATCTCCAACAACATTCCAAAATCCTATCTGTTAATGTCCTTAATTCAATGACACATTCACTTATTCATTCATTTGGCTTTATTTAATAAATATTTCTTGAATGTCAAATGTGTTTACAACACTGAGTTAGCCCAGGTCAAAGTTATGCCTCTTATCCTCTAAGAAATTAGTGCCTAGTAGAAAGCATAGTTATGACATTCATGTCCCTATTCTACCCAATCAAGGAAGTGAACTTCCTTTCTTGGTGTTCTCTACAAAATGACACTGAGAATCACAGGGTTGAGCCCAAAGAAGACCCTAGGATGAGGCAGAGATCTCACTGCTGAAGAGACATGGTAATAACCACTAAAACTGGTAGATGCTGTGCCAAAATGCTAAACAATTAGTTATCTTAAGAGGAAAGAACCCAAGAATGGGGATTAGGTTTCTAGAACTCAGTAATTAATAAATGTACTGTTTTCTGAACATGAGTCTAAAACAGAAGATACTTAGAAATCACAAGTTCTTTTTCAAAGTTACTTCATTTAGTCCAATTTAAGTTTTCTGAGTTTATAAGAAGAAATCTCCATGCCCGCTATTGTTCTCAAGGTGGATGGTGTACACTGGGGAATGGCACTGGAGATGATTATACAGGCTACACACACAAATGACTATGATTTGTATCTTTTTTTAAATATTAGAAAAAAATTCAAGTAGGTTATCAAATGCATAATTTCAGGGTTATTCCTTTAAAATAATTATTTTGTTTTCTTTTATATAAATGTAAAGGTAATTCTTTTTTTTTTTGTCAGTTGTGGAGCTTGAACTCTGGGCCTGACTGAGAGCTCTTCAGCTCAAGGCGAGTGCTCTACCCTACTTGAGCCACAGCACCACTTCTGGTTTCCTTTGGTTAATTGGAGATAAGCGTCTCACAGACTTTCCTGCCCAGGCATGCTTTGAACCCTGATCCTCAGCTTTCAGCCTCCTGAGTAGCTAGGATTACAGGCATGAGACACCTGTGCCCGGCATGAGGCAATTCTTAATAAAAAAATAATTGACTATGACTCTATGACTATATGACTATGACAAGAGGCATATGGATAGAGCCAAAATCATGAATAAAACTTGGAAAAATCAACATTAGTTGCTACAAAACATGGGTGACCTTTTTCCTAGTAAACTCTCATTTCCTAATGTCCTTGGTCATACTCTTTTTATTTTCTTTAAAGCCAAAAAAGATATATTTGAATTTTAATTCTCTCTTCCATCATCCTTTTTCAATGATAGCATGAAAAGCTTAATGATCTGTGTTCCTGAGTTTACCTTTAAGGAGTCTTGAAGCTGTGATGCAAGTGCTCTGGCCTGAGGACTCTCCCCTTCCCCTCGGGCAGCCAGGTCAGCCAACTGAGCTGTCAGCTGATCCACACGGTCACACTTAGCCAGAAGATCTTGTCGATAAGGTCCCATCATAACATTAGCCAGACGATGTCCTTCAGCTACAAGCCCCCGGATGGCAGCCTGGCCTGGACCAAGAGAAAAATCACTAAAATTCACACAGACCCAGAGAAGGCAATAGCAATGTTATTCTATAAGTTTGGCATTTTTTTCACAAAAAGTATAACGAGACAGAGTTCCCTGACGAAAGAAAATACTTTCGGAATATAGAAAAGTATAAATAAGAATAGACTAACAACAACAAAAAAGAGTAGACATACTCTATATTAACTTTTTTTTATGTATGTACTGGAGATTTAGGCCAAGTCTTCATTCATGCTAAGCTACTCATCCAGCTCAACTTTTATTCTTTTTTTTCTTGACCATGTGCATTTTTTCCATTTCATTATGGTTTTTTTATCTACTTGCTTTTTTTGTGTCAGTCCTAGGGCTTGAATGTCCCTAGCTTTTGTGCTTAAAGCCAGCACTTTTACCACTTGAGCCACAGCTCCATTTCCATCTTTTTTGGAGGGGGGTGGGGCAGAGGGTAGATAATCGGAGATAAGAGTCTTACATACTGTCCTGAGCAGGCTGCTTCAAACCACAATCCTCAGATCTCATCCTCTTGACTAGCTAGGATTATAACTGTGAGCCACCAGTATCCCGCTAAATATCTTTTTAACACATGGCACAGGGTGTAAGGGGCACAGCACATGTCTCATAGATACAAATTCCTAGATTTGATCCCTAGCACTATAAAAACAGCAGCAGTAACAAAAACACAACCTATGTAGCATCTTACCATAGGAACTGTAATTATTTTACTACTTAGTACTGTTTACATACATTTTTGTGTTAATTCCTCAAAATAAATTGTATCTTAGAAAAAAATTCCTAAAGGTCAAATAATGGAATCAAAAACACCACATTCAACATATTTCTTTCAGTTTATTCCTACATCAGTAAGTTATACAATGGCCCAGTTGTAACAGAAGAGTCCTTGCAGCTAAAATAACCTAGTTTTTTGTTTTTGTTTTGTTTTCTTTTTTTTAAATTTTTGTGGGGGTCCTAGGTCATGAACTCAGGGCCTGCGTGATAACTGTGAGCATTTTTGCTCAAGGCTAGCATTCTACCACTTGAGCCAAACCTCCATTTCCAGCTTTTTAGTGGTTCATTGGAGATAAGAGTCTAAAGTGGCGCTATAGCTCAAGTGGTAGAGCGCTCGCTTTGAGCTGAAGAGCTGAGGGACAGTGCCCAGGCCCAGAGTTCAAGCCCCCCGACCGAAAAAAAAAAAAAAAAAAGGAGATAAGAGTCTAATATACTTTCCTGCCCGGGCTAGCTTCAAACATCAATTCTCAGATCTCAGATACATAGGACTGGCAGTAAGTCATTAAGAGTTTCAGTTCTGAGCTGAAGCTCTACTTGTGTAAATCATTTATTCTCCAGTACTACTGGAATAAACCACTAGATTTCATTAGCTATAAACAGAAGTAGAATTACTCTACAAAAACATAACTCACAAGTGGCTCAAGTACCCTTTTGGCACTTCATTAGACATGTTACAGGACATCAACAACCTGTTTATTTGCACTGAGACCAGTGCAAGGAGTGTTCAATGCACTGACACCCTTACCAACTCCCCGGTCGTCCACTGTGGGATTGTCAATCCACCGCTGAGCTTGCTCAATCTTGCCCTCCAGGTGGACGGCTGCCTTGGCAGGTCTGCTGTTGGCCACAGCCCTGTTGGTTTTGGACTGCAGGTTCTGCAAGGCAGTGGCTACCTGTTTGGCCAGTGCTCGAGCCTCTGGGGAATCTCCTTTACCCCTAGGAGAAGAAAAACAGCCATCGTGTCACAATTTACAATTTACACTATAGACATAATTCACATTGACATGACCCATCAATGACAAATAATAATGACAACAAATTCCTAAAAATTAGTAATTTGGAAAGGAGTAGTTTAATTAACCTTTGAATAAGAAAACAGTTTAAATTTAGACTGTTTTATTCTAGTTAAGACACTAAATAAGAGTTTGAGGCAATCAAGCTCAACAAAGTTCAATAATTGGGTGAGCTGAGTTCAATCAGTCATCACCCGCACCCTCAGCCTGCCACCAGTAAAAATAGTTCTCTGTGGAACGTAGTATGCTTGGACAGCAATGGCAGTGGTGACAGTAGTAGTGATGGAGGTGGTGGTGGTGAACAATGAAAATACTAACCTATCTGCCAAAATGTTTCATTTGGATACTATTTTCCCCCCTCACGCTATTTCTTGGGCTTGAGCTCATGTCCTTTCACTGTCACTTGGGTTTTTAACTCACAGAAGGTATACCTCCAATTCCAGCTTTTGCTAGTTAACTGAAGATACAAGTCTGGCAGAGGGCTGGGAATGTGGCTTAGTGGTTGAATGCTTGCCTAGCATACATGAAGCCCTCAGTACCACATAATACCACAAATCTTCAATACCACATAAACAGAAAAAGCCAGAAGTGACACTGTACCTCAAGTGGTACAGTGCTAGCCTTGAGCAAAAGAAGCTCAGGGACAGCACCTAAGCCCTGAGTTCAAGCCCCAAGACCAGCCCCCCCACCCCCACACAC